TATTTTTATTATATTTTAGGCTGAAATATCTGAATAAATTAAATATACACATTTTTACAATTTTATTTTTTTGAGTAATAGTATCGCAACATTTTGAAAAATATACAATAATTTTCAAAATGCCATACTTTAGGTAGAAAAAATTGATGACTGCTATTTCTCATCAAAAATATATTTAATATGAGTCGTAGAAGTATAATATTTCATTTGAAATACTCACAAGCAATTTTTCATAAAAATAACTACATGAAATTGACAAATTCATAACATCCGTGCGTGACTTTCGTGCGTGATCATTTATAAACTGCATTTAAACGATTGCTGTGACTCTATGATTCAGAGTGCAATCCTGTAACTTTCTGGAAATCTTTACTAATGTTTAAAATATTAATTTAAAAAAAAGTAATCCGGTGAAACTTTTATTTTCCGAGAAATTAAAGTTTATTTATCTAGTAACTTAAATAGAAGTATTTCTGTTCCGTGCGTGATTCCATTTCAAATTTTTTTTATTTTTTGTTAACATTACTAATGCTTACTATTTTTTGTTTGCAAAATATTTATATTGATTAGAATTAATGAGAGTAAATTGGAGATATACATATACGAGTTTCCGTGCGTGATTTTTTGGCAATGCCCAACTGTAAACTTGAAAACCTTTTAATTGGTATATAATATGTTCGCTGTAGTAAAGTATGAGCTGAAATATAAGTAAAATTCCTTGCTTTTTTGCCTGTCCGCAAACTTTTGGACGCTACTGTATTTATTTATAAATTCATTAGTGAAATATAAATTCAATTTAAAGCACTCATGGCCAAGTTTAAGTAAATTAGATGCAATCGTAATATATAACTATGTTATTTGTTTAAAGCTATAAAAAATATTTTAATCAAAAATTTATAATATGTAATATTCTGAGGATTATATTAGATTAAGAATTGAATACAACCTAAAGTTTAAGGCGTGCAGACCGCCATATTTATTTCAAATAATAAAAAAAACGCGAGGCATGCGATTATTATGCCGAACACAGATAATGCATTTTCCTTCTAAAATTTTTTTTTTAATATGCGTCTATTTATCATATAGTTAAATAAGTTCTTTATAACATACACAGTTAAATGAAGTCCCACAAGTTGGCAGGTCTGTTTTTAGTCCTTGACGATCTTCGCACGTCAGGCTGCGGTTCAGTCAGTAGAGTTTCAGGAATACATGTAGCTTCTATTTCATTGTTTGCCGTTTCCTTATTTGATGTAGGAGGTGTGAAAACTGCCGGTGATTTGTATGATTAATCAATTTGTTTATGCTGATGTACTATTGGTTGCTCATTGGTTTTAATCAGATGTTTATGATTGCGTTAACATACTTTTCCGTACTAATCTATCGCGTTAAATGATCTGGGTAATGTTAGTTTTTCTTTAACTGTCACTTTCTTCAATGCTCCATTTTTTATCATCTATGCGGTGTCGTTTGCTCGGAGATTTTGGGGTTCAGATGCTTGACTATAATGATCTTGATCTGAATATAAGCATTTAAATGAACTGCTGGTATAAGTAAGTCATGGTGAACATGTAGGGTCGTTCGCGTTCTTCTGTTCATAAGAAGTTAGGATGGAGAGTAGTCCGTACCTGTGAGATGCATATTGAGGATTTCTAAAAGACTAAGTTCAGGGTTGTCGCATTTTTTAAGTATTTTCTTCATAATTTTCACGTCATTTCTCTGAGACCACTTGATTAGAGGTAGTTAGGACTTGATGGAGTGAAGTTGAACCCATATTCTTTTGAGAAGTTAAGGAACATTGGACTGTTGTAGGGGTTGTTATTGGCAATGAGATTTAAAGGTATTCTGTGACGAGTAAAAATGGTTTTCATAAATTTGATTACAGAGAATGCCGTTTCTTCAGGAATGATTTTCTTCAGGGTCAAGTTTATTGTTGTGCTTCAATTGCTTTTGTCTATCTGTTGATATTGACAAATTTTGAACTAAAGTGTGGACCATAATGTTGCCGTCCTCATTTGGGCTATCATTCTTGTCAAAAATGTTGAGGTGGGTACGTGATAAAGAGTCAGCAATGTGTATATCTTTTCCTGGAACGTATTTTACTACAACTTTATATTTTTGGAGTCTTATCAGAAGTCTTTGTATGCGAGGCGGTGCTTCTGACAGGGCTTGTGCAATATTTATTCAATAGGTTTGCAATCACTTTCTAATGAGACTTGTCGCCGATAGATATATTGCTTGAAACGTTCAAAAACTGTTGCTAAAAGTTCTTTCTCTATCTGGGCATATCTCTGTTCTGCTATGGTTAAACTACAAGAATTATAGCTGATTGAGTGACCTTCTTGCATAATACAGGCTCCTAATGCATGTGAACTGCATCTCCCTGAACCTGGACATCTTTTGACATATCGAAGAATTAGAGTATAGGACAACATGAAAAAACCTGTGTAATTTTTTCCATAACATTGGTATGTTTATGGTTTCATGAACAGTGTCTTTTTTAGGCAGCTGGCGGAGGGGAGCTGTTAACTCTGACATATTTGGGATGAATTGTCACAGACAGTTGAATATTCTTAAGAGCCGTTGCAAATCTGCTTGACATACAGGTCATGGGTTTGCTGATATGGCTTTGGTTTTTTCAGAATCAATTCTTATACCTTTATGGCTGATTATGTTGCCAAGATACTTGACCTCAGATACTCAAAATTGTATTTTTTTTTTAGTTTGAATCTCATGTTTCTCGCACGAGCTCGTCGTAGAATTTGTTAGAAAATTGTATCATGCTCTGCATCTGTTTTAGCTGCAATATTCAAGTCATTATGGATAGCCAGAACATTAGGGATATCACCGAAGTTAAGTTCAATCATTTGATGTGCAGCATCCAATGCGCATGAAATGTCGAATGGCATGCGGTTGAATTTGTATTGGCCATAAAGAGTGTTAAATGTGCATAGCTCTGAGGAAGGTTTATCTAGTTTTTTATGCCAATAGAAATCAGTCATGACTATGACATTGAAAACTTTGTTGCCGCAAAGTCTGCTAGAGATTTCTTTCGTAATGTCAATATTCTATTAAATTTTTAGTTTAATATAAATTATTGATTAATTTTATAAGAAGGAAGGTTAAGTAAAAGTTTGTTTGATGTTAAGATATAAAAATATGATACATAGACTTATCTATAGTTTTTGATGCTATTGACTACGATATTCTCATTAAAAAAACATTGGAATTAATAACAAAGTCTTAACATTATTAAAAACTACATAAAAAATCGTAAACATCTTGTTAACATTAATCTTCGTCTTCCAATATTTCAGAAAATGTTTTAGAAATACCATGTGGAGTTCAACAGGGATCCATACTCGAACCACTATTACTTATTTTTTATATTAATGATCTCTATAGAGCCTCTAACTAAATGATCTCTATAGAGCCTCTAACTAAATGATCTCTATAGAGCCTCTAACTAAATGATCTCTATAGAGCCTCTAACTAAATGATCTCTATAGAGCCTCTAACTAAATTATTGCATATGATAATAATATTTTATTATCCAACAACAACATTAACAAGTTTGTTTATAATATAAATATTAAACAAAGTATTAAACTGATTTAAATTAAACAAACTTTTGCTAAACATTTGCTAAACATCAAAAAAAAACAGATTGAATTCTCTTTCATCCATCTTTAAAATAACTGCGGTGTATAATGCATAAGCTTATCATTGATACCATTCATATAAAAGAATCGTGTTTATACAAATTTTTATAGCGTTAATATAGATAAAAGTTTTTCATGGAAATAGCACATTGGTAACTTATGCAACAAAATTAAAAAAGGTATTGAAAAGCATTTTAATGAGACATACATTAACTCAACTATATTACTCTTTTTTATTCAGTTTGTCATGTTAGATAAGGCGGGTGTACACTCAAAAGTAAATTAAAGCCTTAACATTGTCAGCAGAAGCATGTGGAACGGCATATTAATTTAAAAGATCATTTTACTCATGCAAAACCTTTCTTGCTTATTATGAAAATTCTTATTTTTTATGAAGTTGATATTTCAAAGTTGATATTTCAACATACATTGTTTTATGTTTAAATCCAAAGTTAACTAGTGCCCAGTTTCTTATGGTGATTTATATTTATGCAAACAAAAATATCAAATCGAATTTAAAAAATTATGATTTAAAATGTCACGCAATCTACTAACTTGGTTTTTTTCACATAAACTCATATTAAATTTTCTTTTCTTTTTTTTTGTTGGTAATTTAGTAATTACCTGTCTCACTATTTTGTATTTTGTACATTTTTCAAATACAAAAAAATAAGTAAGTAATAATAATAATATTAAAAAGTAATAATTTTCAAAGACAATCAAAATTTAAGTCAAACATTAGTTATATTGGCATATCTTTTACATTTCATTTCGTGAAGCATTTTTATGAAACAAAATAATTTTGAAAAATTTTGATTTTACACATGAATGGAGTTAGTATTTCCTTGAATAAAAATTAAAGAAATTTTTACGAGTGATGATATACTTTTACATTTTTGAAATTGAGCTTTTAATTGCTTTTTAAAAAATATAAATGTTTTACTTAAAAAATTATTAAATTATTTTAACATTTTATATGTTTAACCACTGTTTAATACCTTACTTTGTCAAGCCTATGTATGTTTTTATCTCGCTATTTTATTTTAATTTTATTTAAGGTTCTCAAGATATCAAAATGTAAAATATGCAGATTAGATTGGAATGTAAAAAAACATTTAAAATCGAGTCAAGTTAAACTGAATAACATTAATATCTTATAATTGTTTAGAAATAAGGCAAAACTATCCGTTTTATACAATTTCAATAAAATAATTTCATTTTTAGCATTATCAAAAGTAGTATTTTGAATTACTAAAAGTTTTTAAATATTAAAGCGTTCAATGAATGGTTTTAAATAATTAATTATGTTAACTTTTAAATACATAAAATAAAGTTACTTACATTTCCGCATGGTACGTTTCCAATTAGAGGAGGTGAAGGATAAAATTGCTGAGATTGATTGCTGCTTTGATATTGAGGTGTAAATCTAATATCTGGTTGTTGTTGCACAGGAAACGTTGCGGCTTGGTAATAAGGAGGTGGTTCATCTTATTTAAAAAAAAAAAGTTAGTAGCTTCTTTTTATTATTTTGTTTCTAGGAAGCTATACGAAAGTTTTAGAAGTTGTATCTAAGTAAGTTGTATCAACATAAGTTGTATCTAGGTAAGTTGTATCTACGTAAGTTGTATCTACGTAAGTTTTTTCATTTTAAATAAGTGACAGTTTTTAATTTAATGGTAATGTTTTGAGTTTTAATTATTTAATGTTGTGGTTTTACAAAATATATGGCTAAACTCCTGATTGTATAGGGTATCCTTTGTTTTATTCAATTTATTTTTTAAAATGCGTATTGATTTTAATAAAACATATTATTTGAAGAAAGATGTTTGAAAATTTTTAAATTTAAAAAAAAAAAAGATTTTTGCATCGTTTATCAAAAATATTGCTGAAAATCTGGCGTTTTTAAAGTTTTAAAAAGGTTCTTTGTTTTAAAAAACAAAATATAATTTTCTTTTTTTTTTTTTTTTTAAACATCTTCGCTTCCAACAAGGCTGCAAGCAACCACTAATTAGTGTTGGAAGTTACTGGAAGAGAAAAGATGAAGATTGTAGAGCAAGATAACAATTGACAGACGAATTAAAAGATTGCAAATTATATAAATCAGGAAAGCAAGATGAAGGAAGCGAATTCCAAAGAACTGATGTTCGAGGATAAAAACTAGACGAGTAAGAGTTTTTGGAGCACTTAGGAACAGTAACAGAAAGACGATGAGACTTAATTGAATAACGAGTACCACGAGAATGAGTTTTAGTAAAAGGCACAAGAGACGCTAGCTCTTTAGAGCAGTGCCCATTATAGTATTTGTAGAAAAGAGAAAGAGAAGCAACATTATGACGATGTGACAGAGGTTGAAGGTTGGCTGCAGGAGCAGGTCCAACTACGTTTACAATGCGTTTTTGCACCTTGTCTAAAAGAGAAAGGGCATAAGTGGTAACGCACTTGCCTCAGAAACGTAAGATCCGTGATTCAAACCCCACCTCTGGGCAAGTTTGCGACATCGGTTGGGAAGAAGGCGTGAACTTCCCATTAAATGCTCCTCCGCGATGCTCTGTGATAAGACCGTAAGGACATCTTGGGGCACCTTAATCAACTTAAAAAAAAAAAATTAGAAGATCCGCCCCAGATATGGCAACAGTATTCCATACAAAGCCGGATTTGAGATTTATAGAGATAGAGAATAGAATCCAGAGTAAGAAAGTGACAAGCTCGATAAAGAGATAGCAGATGCTAATTTTGCAACGGATTTGATATAAGGTTTCCAAGAAAGATCAGAAATAAGAGTTAATCCTAAGATGAAGGGTTGGAGACTCATTGAGTACATTACCGTTCATAAATATAGAAACGTCTAAATTATTGCAATAACGATTAACTGAAAAAAATTGAGTTTTATCTGAATTAAAGTTCACTAGCCACTGTGAGCCCCATGCTGTCGCAGAAGTGAGATTCTTTTCAAGCTCAGATGCCCCCTGCAAGCAACCAGCGGGAGTTGGTTTCTTATCGTGACAAGAATAAATGGTTGTACCATCAGCGAACAATGCGACCGTAGATGTGAGAATATCTGAAAGATCGTTAATGTAAATTAAAAAAAGTATAGGGCTAAGGATTGAACAATCCATAGCCCTATACTTTTTGAAAAGATTTTTATTGATTTGAGTTCATCAGAACTCAAATCAATAAAAATCTTTTCAATTTCTTTTTTAATGACTTCAGGAATAACACCTTTTGAATTGTATTTAGACAAGCCTGTTATTTTATCAACTTGATATTTGCACCATGATATTGCAGATCTAGGACAAAACTGGTGTCTAACGTCAGACTTTTAATGTCCGTAAAGTGCCAAAGAATTGCCAAAACTGATTTCTTCATACCATACAATTGGCCAAGATTTTGCTTGACTGCCATACCAAAATAATTTTGCATTTTGTTAATGAGTCTATCAGTCAATCTTTCCTTTCCACTAATACTTTTTCCACCAGCAAGTTTTATAGATTTCATATCACTGCGAAGCTTTCTCAATTTCTTTCCGAGGCGCTTTTGAACGTGTCCTATACAATCTAATTTTTTGGGTAAAATTTCACCATATGGTTTTGAGTCTAGCACTTGTTTGAAGGAATCTATGTCACCATCTCCAATATAGTACATATATCTCAAATTATATTTTTCAATTGAACTTGCGAAGATGTTAACTGCGCCTTGGGATTTCATTGACCCTGATGATGTCATATGATTATTTTGGGATATATGTTTTGCTTTCCAATCAATATATTAAGCTGATCAACCCTTATCTTCCTACTTTGAACAACCATAAAAAAATTTGGAGAAAACATGAACATTCAAAACCTTTTGATTTTTACGAGCTATGCCAGTAACTATTCCATTTAAAGAATTATACCCTCTTTTTTGCCATGATCCATCATTTGATATATCACTTTCTAGTAGTTCAGCTGCATTTGAATCAGGTTTTATAATTTATCTGACTTCCTTAGCTGCTTTTTTCATGCTTTCATTAGCACAGTCTGCATATGCTTGAAAAACAGACTTATTATTATTGTTGTATGCATTTTTTGACATCAATGAAGACATATTCATAAAAGTGGAAAACTTTTCGATGTCCTTAAAACCATGACCAAATTCACAAAAAGCAATAACTAAACGAGTATTAATATCAAAATTTTTTTTCCCACGAAGTTCAGTGTTATCTTTTTTTGAAATGAATGATGAAGAGTAAAACTCATGTGTCCAATCACATTTATAACATTTTAAACACATTATGTTTGCAAATCCTTGATGTTTTTCATTAATAAGTTTTAAATTAATTTTTGAGTTGCAATCAAGACAAGATTTTTCACACAAGAAAAAAAGTGGGTTGTTTTTTTTTATCCTGAAGACTTGTTTTGTCCTGAGATTCTATTTTTCTATTAGTGTGTTGGTTCCCACTAAATTTTCTTTTTAATTTTTTTCATTGTTTATTATTTTTATTAGCCACCTAAACAAAGTTAAAAAATAAAATTTCACATAAAGGTTTTAGATAAAACAAAACACACCATGCTCTAATGAAAAAACAGCAATAATTCAAATAGTTCTGTCAGCTGTTAAAATTAAAGTTCCTTTTAATTTAAAGCTCTGTTTACACTATACAAAAGCTTTGAATTTCTCGATTTTTAAAAAAACTTATATTATCAAGTTTGGTAAATGATTTTGGCCCAAAACAACTAAAAAATGCTGTTGCTAAGGACGTTGCTAAGGGATCAAACTAATACATGTCTTTATAGAAAGTAAATTTTGAAAAAATCTAATTAAGAAATGTGTGTAAAAATATATATTTTTTGAAAGCACAAAAATTTCTCTTTTAAACTACTCCAATAACAAAAATTTGATTTTTTACATATTTTTTTAATAGACCACCTTAATGGCTTCGTAAATATTAATTATAATATTGCAAGGCTAAAGCGCTTTAAAAAAAAAAATCCCCAAAAAATCGTTTAAATGAATTTAAAAATGAAGTTGTTGGAAATAAATAATTATTTTGCTTGTCACAAAATAGTAGTTTAATTTATCAGCACATTTTGTTCATAGGGTGTTTCACCGTTTATTTTATTAGTTTAAGATAATGTGTTTATTTTTTATGTGTTTATTCTGCTTGCTAGTTACTTATTTTGAAACTTAGGGTTAGGACTATTGTAATTGTAATGAAAACAATAACTATTTTTATTGTATTAACTAAATTTAGAAACAATAACAATACTTATGATTTACAACTAATACTGTAATACAATAACAATATACATTGCATTACAATTCATCTTTATAGTTTATATTTATTAAATTTTCACAATTTATATTTATTAAATTTTGACACTAAAATAATTTTTTTTATTACGATAACAAAATATCGTTATTGTATTATAAAGACGAATTACAATACAATATTTATTGTTATTGTAGAGGTTCATTACAATACACTTTTTCAGATATTGTTATTGTTTTATAATATAATATAACAATACAATATTTATTGTTATTGTAGAGGGTCATTACAATACACTTTTTCAGGTATTGTTATTGTTTTATAATATAAAACAATAACAATATCTGAAAAAGTGTATTGTAATGACCCTCTACAATAACAATAAATATTGTATTGTAATTTGTCTCTATAATACAATAACGATATATTGTTATTGTAATAAAAAAAATTATTTTAGTGTCAAAATTTAATAAATATAAATTGTCAAAATTTAATAAATATAAACTATAAAGATGAATTGTAATGCAATGTATATTGTTATTGTATTACAGTATTAGTTGTAAATCATAAGTATTGTTATTGTTTCTAAATTAATTTAATACAATAAAAATAGTTATTGTTTTCATTACAATTACAATAGTCCTAACCCTAAGTTTCAAAATAAGTAACTAGCAAGCAGAATAAACACATAAAAAATATAATATAAAACAATAACAATATCTGAAAAAGTGTATTGTAATGACCCTATATAACAATAAATATTGTATTGTAATTTGTCTTTATAATACAATAACGATATATTGTTATTGTAATAAAAAAAATTATTTTAGTGTCAAAATTTAATAAATATTTTAACAGTTTAGTCTCCGAGATAAGTGACCTTGAAATACGGTACAACTAATACATAAGTATTGATTCTCTTTCTTTTTTATTTACTGAATGCTTGTCTTCATTGCAAATTTAATATAGCTCTATAAAAGTAAGTTTAATTGGGCCTGTATTTCTTTTACTGCTGGGGATAGACAGGGCCGGCGCGAGTAGGTGTCACGTGGGGGAATGCCATTACATTTTGCCGACAAAAACAAAAACAAAAAAAAAAAGGTCCTCGTTTTCCAAAATTTGCCGACTGCCATGACGACATTTGCCGACTGTCTAGATTACCGACTAACCTATACCGAAAGGGTCGACATTTGCCTACTAACTAGTCTAAAAAGATCCAATTTGCCGTCTAAAAATCATTGATGGGGGGTGTCACACCCCCGCACCCCCTATCGCGCCGGCCTTAGGGATAGACATGATTAATTACTACCATTTCTTCCACTAAGTTAATTGCTTTTACATTAGGCATCTATACAGTTGTTTCGAAACTTAACTCACACTTACTCTAATATAACTTTGTCTTTTGCTTACCTTCGGCTTTATAACAGATTGTGTTTCATAAAGTAACTGGACAACTAGTTGCAAATTTATGAAAGAGTTTTGTTACATAAATCAATAACAATACTTATTTGTTGTTCTTAACTGGCTCATTTTTAAAAAATGATTCATATAAAATCTACTGGTACGGTCTGATAGGTGAATAATCTGAAAATGTAGAAAAATTTTTAACAAAACAAAAGTAGTTCACATTTTTAGACAATCTAATCGGTAATTACACAAGTTGATAATTCTCTGATTCCATAACGATGTAATTGATTACACATTAACAGGACAGTTCGCCATTTCTGTACATTCCAGTAAATATGAGATGTAGCAAACAGGAGTCTTTTCTTCTGGATTTTTAGTGAAATTAGCTGTTTCTTTGCAAGGCGGCGAGAAAACAATCCGGCTTAAACAGCACGTCGTCTGATTGTTCGGTCCGAAACAAGCAGCTCTAATTGTTTTTGTATCTCAACTGATATACAGGGATCCTTCTTGACGGATTTGACGATCATAGAGTCCTCTCTAGAAGTGGTGGAACGTGGTCTTCCACATTTGTTATCTGCTGCCAACTTCCTTATAGAACGATATTTGGAGCATAGTCTTGATACGGTCCATTTTTATACGCGATATTTATCACAATTACTTTTTTGTGACATTCCACTTAAGTAATCGCCAATAATTTTCTTTCTTAGTTCCAATCCAAGACTGTCGGGAGACATTTTTGAACTTGAATTCATAAAAATAATAAAAATTAACAATCACATTTCTCAAGGCTTGCCGTGTTACATTTACCTTGTAATGATACAATAATGCTCTGTGGAACACAACGTCTTGGTTGGATGTGGACTGTATTGATGTAATGAAACACTTGTTGTATTTCACTTCTTGTATTGTTGTTCTTCGATAAAACTATTTGATAAAACTCACTTCGATAAACTATCTTGATAATACTGACTGATTGACTTCCATATACTGACTGAATTACATGTCGGCTTACATGTCTCTTATATAGTAAAATGAACCTGTGTGAACCTGTTCTGGAAGATTCTAGATGCTTCTTTTTGATGCTTCTGGAAGCATCTGGAGGCGTTCTGATGCTTCTGAATGTTTCCGGATACTTCTGAATGCTTCCAAATGCTTCTTCTGAAAACTTCTGGAAGCTTCTGCATGCTTCTGGAAACTTCTGGAAACTTCTGGATATTTCTTTTAGTTATTAAAAAACTTCAGTGACGTTGACACGGACCAGACTTAAGAAAATGAAACAAAGCAAAAAAGTTGCACTTGTTTTGTCCGCTGCAAAATGGCACTTGTCAACGAAGTTCAGCCTGCGTGATGTCACCTGTCACTTGATTGCTCATGTCATGGCATGCTATGACTCCAGACTCCTGAACTGTTTGCTATTGTAGTTTGCTAATGTAAAACTAGGAACACTTTTTAGAATTGTTCGATGTTGGTTGCAAATGTTTTGTCCAATACTGTATATAAATATATATATATATATATATATATATATATATATATATATATATATATATATATATATATATATATATATATATATATATATATATATATATATATATATATACATATATACATATATATTTATAGTAAAAAAGTTAAATACAGTAAAAAAAAGTACTGGAACGGCGTAAAATGTTAGGGAGGATAATTACAATTTATATCAACCTAATAAAGTTTATTTTAGCCTCTGACTTTAAAACTATCATCATTACCCTTGGATTTTTTATAATCATCTTACTTCTTTATCTTAGTGGGAATGCGTTAACCGGGGGATTTTTGTCAGATGTCGTTCGGACGCATTTGAAACGTTCGACGGACGTCCCCTGGACAACTCGTGGTCACTGGGATCTTAACTTAAGGTCTAATTGAGCAATACTAAAAAGTTTTTCTTAATTGTAGGTCATAATGGAAAATATTCACTTTTAAATTATGACGGGCCGATAGATGAGAAATAAGTTGTACTGAACTTTTGAATCTTTACAAAAAAACTTGAATAATAAATTCCAAAAGACACTATAAAAGAGTTTAATATATAATTAAATAAAAGCTTTTATTATGGATGTAACTATTTATTTTTTGAATTAATTTTTATACAACATTTCAAGGAAGTATAGACAACCTCTTTATCAAAAATAATAATAATTGAATAATACTAATTTAATGGCAAATATTGTGTGTAAATGAAATATAACAAAAATGTCTCTAATCCATCCATGGTGGGAAATTATTTGAAGATATTATCAATTGTTTGTCTCTCCTCCACTCATAAAACTGTTTGTTCCTACTTCACTGATAAAAATCTGAAAAACTTTCTTAAAAAATTATTAGACATTGTCATAATGATGATGGTTTTTTTAAGACAGTTTTTAATTTAAGTTGAATGCATGTTTTAGGTGCTGAAGGAAAAAGTTTTTTGCATTCAAAACAGGTTTATATCAAGCATGGGAAAAAAATTTCAGACTTTTATTACAATAATATTTTAAAGTAATAACAACATGCAAAAAAAAAAAAAGTAATCAAAATACAGAAACAAAAGTATTATTGCATAGTCCTTAAGTAACTCCTTGAAAATTCCAGTAACTTTTCCTTTCCTTGCTTGAAAAAAAGAATATTTACAAAAACAATCTTATTACATTAACTAAGATTATAGTTTATAGTTTGACTTAGTTTGTCAAAATATATTTTTGTGTTTAAACGACTCGACTGACAAAAGTGGCTTCAAAAAAATCTACAAAAATATTACCTCATCTAAAAAACTTTAATAAGGAGCAGTAAGTAATTTTTTTTTTAATAAATGTTATGATTTCAATAAATAAATAAGTTGATTTAATATTGTTAGTCGCCCAAAGAAAAAACTCAAACATACCGCCTGTTTTTAGTGAACTGTTTACTAGTTTTTTGTTTTTTTTTAAATATCATACAAATACTTTATAAAAACGCGTTTTTGAGGACTTTTTTTAAAGTTGTATAAAACAAATCGTAACACGATACTTTTTATAATTTAAAAAAAAATTCATGAAAGGTTTTGTAAAATTAAACACCTTAGTACAAAAACTATGTAACTCCATTTTTACAAACTGCTCAGGAAAAAAAAAAGATAAACTTTAAATGAAAGAATTAAATATTATTTAGTTAAATCTTTTGACAAATAAATAGTGCTCTATTATAAATTATTTTTGCATCAACTTTTAGAGCATTTTACAATTAGTTACATTCCGTTCAAATCTAAAAATCAACCAAAAGCGAGGTTACATTTCTTTTGCACCGATTCCATTAATAAATAAACATTGTATTATTACTGGATCAAGGTTTTACGGTACTTATTATACAAAAATTATTAGGCGTGCATGCCAAAAGGTATTAAAACTGCTCATATTTCAAAATTCTAATTTAAATTAAACGCATCATAAAAAAACTCATAAGGAAACAAAAATGTATTTAGGGCCTAAAAACCTATTATCATTTAAGCCGCTTTTGTTAGTATAAATAAAAAACAATATATTAAGTAACAGCATTAGAAAATAGTAAACAAAATAAAAATGGTTTAAAATGTTTTAATAACATAAAAACAAACTTACTAAAGTTTCTTGGGTAACCTTGTTCCATTTTTCAATCTATTTGTGAAATATGTCATATGTCTAGCTGAAAATAATTTTTTGCTTCTATATACATGCATGCATGCATGCATGCATGCATGCATACATACATACATACATACATACATACATACATACATACATACATACATACATACATACATACATACATACATACATACATACATACATACATACATACATACATACATACATACATACATACATACATACATACATACATACATACATACATACATACATACATACATACATACATACATACATACATACATTATTACTAATAAAAAATGATTCTATCTAAAATAACTTACTTAATAAACATATATATTTTACCTAAAATAAAATAATTTATCAACTTTCCTACCATTGGTATATACGTTGGCTAATATATAGTTTGCTGAAATAAAAACACTTTATTAATATTTATTCTATAATTTTAATCAAAATTTACTTGAGTTAGAAATAAAAATAAAATAATAACTTTTTATAAGAAAAATCATAAGCATTACTATTAAACTCTCTAAAGTTAATAAATATTTTTAAAAAGTGAAGGAATTTTACTTTCACTTTTACTTTCATTTGATCTTGTAATATGAAACATTTAAAAGAAATCAAAACAAATAAACTTTGTAATTTTATACCAAAACTTTAAGATCAATTATTTTAAGTTTTATACCAAAACAATAAAATCAATTGTTTTAAATTTTATACCAAAACATTAAAATCAATTATTTTAAATTTTAGTACATTAGATAAAAAAATAAAATAAAAATGAACTTTTGTTATCGTAATCGTTTTTATCAAAAAAATGCTAACTAATATAGCTTAATTCAATCCAGTTTTTTTGAATTATTTTTATGTAAATTCCTTTAAATGGTTTAAATTAAACTATGCAATTTAATTTATTTCATTTAAATTACATAGCTTAATTTAGCCAATTAAACCAATTTTACTATTAAACCAAATAAACCAATTTTATTTTTTTTTAAGTTATTTACTCTATTTATTTAAACAAAGCAAAACATAT